CAAAACACTTCATAGACATGTTTTTTATATATTTGTATATATTTGAGACCTATGCTATTGCCTGAACACAGCATGATAGGTGAACTTTAATCTCAGAGAATATTATAGTTTTCATTTTACTGCTTCAATATCAGAAATGCTTTTTTCTCTCATAAATGTACCACTTAAATCCCAAAGAATATATTTGAGTGTTTTCCCTTACATTTAAGACTTTAATTTCCGAGAATATTTGCGTTTTTCTTTTGGAAATGTGTACGTTTTTTCCTTGGAAATACACAATAAGTAAATGCTGCATCATTTAAGTGAGGCTGCTCTGACTCGAGGGTTCAGTACTCCACGGTCAGGGACAGACGGCTTCAGCGCCACAGCAGGTTGTGATTCAGCGTTTTAAACCAGATGCTCGCCATCACAGGAAATAGAAACGCATCTGTGTGGTTTAATATTACACTTTTTAAAGAGTGTTCAATGGCTCCTTCCTGAGGATGTGAAACTTGATTAGTGGGAAGAGATCCAGTAAAATGAGAAGTGAAAATGAACGGATGATAAAACAACATATTTTCATTGGAAGAAATGTATTTTCCCCACCACAGTGAGGATCCAGTTAAACGCTAAGTATTGCAATATATACTGAGATTACATTAAACATATAACAAATATTCTACTAATATTATAATATGTACAATTTCATGTCTGTTATTTGTTTTTTTTCAATTCAGATAATGTCATATTACATACTTTAGTGCAGCAAATAGTCAATTAAATATTTAAAAACATAGCAAGAAAGTGTGTCAAAGGCTCATATTTCTTAAAGTCGTTAGTTATGCTAAACAAACAAGTATTAAGTTAACAGAGGACCAAGACAAATGGCATATTTTATATAATACTGTTTTTAATGATATGTATTAATTTAAGAAACAATCTTAAATGTTGATTTTTTACTCTAGAAAATGACCTCAATGAATTGTTACCCATTGGTTTTGTTGACTGGGTTCTTAAGATCAATCAATCTAATATGAGTTAAATATAGAAATGCACATTATACATAATAGCTATAGCGACATGCAGTTAGTGATAAAGGGACCCCATGTCTGTCCTTAATGATGATCATCTGTTCTATGGATCAATCCTCTCAGCTCTGTGTGTAACTACATTTTATTTTGTGAATTAAACGGTTTGTTTTTATTTCTCTATTGTGTGTTTCAGTCTCGCGCTCTGAACGGCGTCTGTGAGAAGACGGCTCAGGCGACCTCTGACCCCTCGAAGAGCGATCAGTCCTGCCTGGAGGAGGTTCACATCCCCAACGTCAAGCCTGGGGAGGGACTGGTGAGCAATACATCAAAAGACAGACCGTGCAGACATCTTTATTCACAGCCAGACTCAGCCAGCCACTGTGAAGAGAAGTCCCACAGTTTAACCCCAACTCCCTCCGAGAAAACGCTAACACGTCCTTTAGAGCTGCACCGTGAACCACAATCAGCACCGAGTCCAAAACAGATCCAGATGTAGATCCAAGCAGAGAAACCACCACTGCAGGGAGGAATCGAGAGAAACCACGGGGAGGTATTTATGGACAAGATTCACATTTACATTGTCTTTCAGGGTATCTACATCAAGTCCACCTACGACGGGCTGCACGTCATCACTGGAACTACAGAGAACGTGAGAGAGGAGACTTCTAATGACATTTCATCTCTTTACCTTCTAACGAGAGTATAACTGTGATACTGCCTCTCAGTCCCCTGCAGATAAGACCCAGAGGATTCATGCTGGAGATGAAGTGGTTCAGGTCAACAGACAGACAGTGGTGAGAAGAAACTCCTTTGGCTGTGTTATTATGAACATGATTACTGACCCTATTCACTCTGATACCTTTCTGACTAGTATTTACCGTATGTCTGTCCTATTTTTGTGAAATCTCAAGAATAACTGGAAATTATTATATCATATTTGGCTCCATTGTCCAATTAGACCAGGGGTGTCAAACTCAATTTCATCACGGGCCACATTGGAATTATGGTTGCACTCAAAGGGCCGGTTGTAACTTTAAGACTATATCAATATTTAATATATATAAAATTATGAATGATTTTACATTATTGCCTCTGCATTGGATTATTATCAGATAGATAATAACTTCATAATTAACTACGTCTTAAAGCAGAAGTCTAGGGCAAATAATTGCAAGTCTCTTCGGTGAGAATGTCACAAAATGGTTTAAAAAGAAAAGCCAAATTCTGGAAGAAAAAAAAGTGAAATTTGGGGGGGGAAGCAACGCTTTGAAAAAAAAAATCAAATTCTGAGAAAAAATTCATATTTTGAAGAGAAAAAAATCAAATTCTGATAAAAAAAAAAGAGGCAAATT